CTGGCACAAGGACAAGCCTGATCTCCATCTTGGTCAAAAGTGCTTACAGGATTAAGAACCTGTGATCTCTTCCAAGCTATAAATGTGGACACACAAAGGAATCGATAAATATTTGTTGATTTGGTTAAGTTTCTGTTTTCATTTACACAAATTGCTGTGTCCATTTCTTCAGAAACAGAATCTCTGAACTGAAAATCTGAAGGAAGCTTTCAGATCAACTTGTTCTGCCCTTTGAGGAGTTTGTAGACATTCTTCTGGTGCTAGATTTTGCCTTTGGTGACAAAGGCTTTTCAAAAATACGCTGAGGCATCTGACATAAAGCAATGGAATCCATTCTTGCCTCCGTTGTTCCCATCTGTATTATGGGGAGAAGCAACATGGAAACAGTGTGGCATGAGCTGTGATGTTTAAGATAATACCAAAACAATAGGTTGGAATCCTGTTTTGTCACTGAGTAGCTGTGTGACCTTAGGCAACTAACTTAACCTCTCTGAATCTATTCTGTAAAGTGGAGAGAATAATAATAATTCCTCTGTAGAAGAGTGGTGGAGGGTTTGAAACAGGCAGTGTCCTTGTCTGACTCTATGCCTGGAACACAGTAGGTGCTCAACAAATAGTAGCTTATTTCTAGAATTGTGCTTATGTGAGAGGGAGAGCCTTCCCAGCCTGACCCTTGAGGATTCTATGACTCAGAAAGTGGGCAGGTGCTTCCACGGTCCCTGCCCTCATTAGCAGCTATGGAAAGGCCTGCACAGCGCTGTCTCAGGGACAAAACCAGCCAAGCGAGCACAGGCAGGGAGACGTCAGCCGCTCCTCCCGGGGAGAGCAGGGACCCAGGCGCCACTCCAGCAGCAGGTGAAAGCCCCAAAGCCAGGTAACGGATGCTCCCTCATCACTAAACTTCATAACTGCATCAGCAAAGCCCGGAGCTTTAATAAGCTCAGCTGGATCAGAGCGCTCTGCTCCTGAGTCAGCCATCCTGGGACTGGGGTCTGGGTGTCACTGGCCTGGTTGGAACTTTCCTTTGGCTTCAGGGAAGTGAACCCTCTCAGCAATCATGTGTGATGTTCCTCTATGGGATTTTTGTATGTCTGACTTAATCCTGCCTTTATTCAAGTCTTGCTCAAGTGTCTAATTGCATAAAGAGCTCTTCCCTGAAGATCTGTTCTAAGACGGACTGATCTGACAGAGGCTGTGCTGTTGGGAAACATTAGTCTTTTCATTTTACAGATGATAAAACTGAGGTTCAGCAAAGTTATATAATCTGCCAAAAACCCCACGACAGCTTTGCAGTTGAATCTGAAAGCAAAGTGCCTTTTCCATTGTGTTAGGTGAGGCTGGCCTGTTTATAAAGCCGACTTCAAATTTCTCTTCCTCCTCCTACCTCTCCTCCGGCCTCTCTGCTCTCCTCTTGCCTTTCCACTCCTTCTTGTCCCCCCTCCCCTTCTCTAACTCCTCCTCTTTCTCTTTCCAGGGCTCATTTTAAGGTTAAATTGCTGCGTGTTGTACATCCCACGCCAGGACACACCCAGGCCATGTTTGAACAGGGGTGTGAGCAAACTTCCAGGGCCAGGTTAGCCGTCCTCGCTTCTTCCAGTCAGTGCGCTGCCATTACTTATTTATTACAGACAACACTGGCACCAGCTCATGCTGTGGAGAGACCAAAATGGTCAACACTAAACTTGTCTGCTTTCTAAAGCAGTTTGTGCAATAAAATGGGTGACAATTCCCCCCCTCAGACCACCCAGTCATGCTCGTCATCAGTGAGGTAGCTGATTTCTAGGATGGCCGCTGCGCCAATGTCTCCTCCCATAACCATGCAGCCCTGTGTGTGAGCGTCTGCTGTCAGTCTGAGCTCACTTGCTTCTCTGACTAACAACCTGTGAGGAGCTGAACCCTGCCAATAACTACTGGGTTTGGAAGTGGATGCCGTCAAACACTGGAGGTGACTCCAGCCTTGGCCCCCACCTTGACTGCTCCTGGTAAGACACCCCCACCTGGAGGCCCCAGCTAAATCGTGCCTGATTACCACTCCTCAGCAACTGTGAGGTAATAAATGTGCTTATTTTAAGTCTAGGGATAATTTGTTACACAAGAACAGATAATTCATCAAATTGTTATCAAGTTTATTCTCCCCAGACTTATGTATAGATTGAACACGATCCCTGCTGAAACCTAAACAGGCTTTTTAGAGTACAAAATACCTAAAATAATCAAAGTAATTTTGAAAAGAGAGGAAAAGAATTTGAGAAGTTATACTACTTGATTTAAAGTCTTATTAGAAGGCTGAGTAATCAAGTTAGTGTGGTATTATTGGGTGTAAGGATAGAGTTCAGACAATCCCCACAAATGTACAGTCAGTTTTCAACAAAAACACTGACATAATTCACTTGGGAAAAGGGATGTATTTTCAACAAATGGTGATAGGAAAACAGGAAATTTTCAGCAAACATTTCACTCAAAATGTGTTGTGGACCTACATGGGAAAGCTTAAAATATAAAGGTTCAAGTTGAAAACTTTAAGGAGAAAAATCTCATGATCTCAGGGCAGCCAGAGATTTCTTAAAACTGAACATAAATAACACTGACTATTACAAAGAGGAAAAAATATTTGCAGGACACATATCTGGTAAAGGACTTGTGTCCAGAATAGGAAACAATCCTTAGAACTCACCAAGAGGTCAAAAGCCTGATTAAAAAAATCGACAATTTGAATAGACATTCCACTAAAGAAGATATGAAAATAATCTCTAAACATATAGAAAGATGCCCAATATCAGTACTTGTTAGAAATACACAAATTAGATCATTGGAATGTGTAAAATTAAAAAGGCTACCCTATTTAGTGTTGATGAGGATATGGAACAACTAAGACCAACTCCTATACTTCTAATAAAAGTTTAAAATGCAGCAAACACTACAAAATGGAACAACAAAACAGTTTGTTGGTTTATAAGTTAACATACACTTTCCTAAGACTCAGCAATTGGACTCATATAGACGAGAAATGAAGATATATGTCCAATAGACTTGAACATAAATGTTCATAGCCATTTTATTTATGATAGTGAAAAATCCAAATACCCATCAAAACAGTGAACGCAAAAAACAAATTCTGGAATAGTCCCTACATTTAAATTACTTCTATACCTATTGTCGCTGAATCTCCAAAGCATGCTGTGTGCAAAACAAGCCTTACATCAAAGAGTAAATGTCACATGCTCCAGTTATAAGACGTTCTAGAGAAGGTGAGGTAATATATAGTAACAGAAATAACATCAGTGGTTGTCTGCGGTAGAGGGGTGGGGTTATATTTCAAAGGGGCATATGGCAACCTTCTGGGATGATGAAAATGCTATGTATCTTGATTAAGGTGATGTTGATGGATGGGGAAATATATCAAAACCAAAATCTCTTCCCTACCCAGGAAACCACTCCACAAAGGTAGAAAGGAAAGCGAACATTTTTGCTATTGCACTGGCATTAAATCAGAATGTGATATGCACCACAGGCAACTTGGTAAGAGCTTGCAAAGAAATCTCAGACTTTTCTAGAACCCAGTGGATGCAACCCTTTGCCAACATATCCTAAGACAAATACGTGACTTCTCAAGTAGGAGGAAGTGAGTGCCCTGGTCCCATCCAGTCCTGCCTTGTTCACTTGCTCATCAGGGGGACATCTGCACTTGCTAATTGGCTTTATCCAAAGGGAAAATTAGCATGTTTTTATGACAAGTGGTAGTTTTGCAACTTGGAGTTATGTGGCTGGTCTCCCACGAGAAACTGGGAGATGGAGTTGTTCTATTCCCTGATGATTATATTTCAACGAGATGATTCCCAGGGCCGTGAAAAAGACATACCTGGTCACTAAAACTGCCAGGAAACTTATTTGGCTTCTAAAATGATTTACCCACACTTCAGAGAGACAGGGAGAGAACTTACAAGTTTAATAAGGTAAATTTATGCTCTAAGAAAAGATATGGGGGAGAAGTCTCTTATTTTCGACAGGGAGAATAAAGCTTCTGATTTTTAATTTGTGTTTGTCCTTACACAAGTGTATGTATTTGTCCAGATTATCAAGCTGTCTACATAATGTGCCTATTTTTGTGTATGAAAATCAGACCTTACAAATATGATTTAAAATGTGCCCCCCTCACCAGGAATGGTTTCAGTTTTTACCCAGGCCACTTTGACAACCTTTCTGGGCCTTGAAAATTTTTCACAGATTTCTCTGAGTTATTCTCACTGTCATAACAGTGTAGAAAAAAATGTGTGGCTGGATTATACTCAGGTTCATCTAATTCACATTAAAGAATCCTCTTAAGTGTTTGTGATAATGGAGTCTAATTCCTGCAAATAACAGAAAAATACAATTCGAAGGGAAGTTAGTCATCTTAAAATAATTTAATAGCTACCATTTGATGAAACCTATTTTAAGATGGGAATTTTTTTTCTGTCTCTTCCCAAAAAACAATTGAGCATGTATCATGGACTCCATTTTTGCTGGGTGCTGAGCATGTACTTGTGAACCACGTACCATAGTCCCTGCCTTGGACACGCTAAGCTGGCAAAGCAGCCAGATAATAACAGGTGATTACATTAACACTCAGTTATATTGCAGTATCTGCCCCTGACAGTGAACTTCTCCCCACACTTTGTCTTATTCTGAGATCGCTGCAGGGCCTTCCAATCCAGTGCATCTGAGTCACCTGGGTGGCCTGGCTAAAATGCAGATTCTGACTCAGTAAGTGTGGGTGGGGCCCAAGATTCCAGATTTCCGACAAACACCCAGATGACGCCAATGCTTCTATCATACCCAGACCACAATTTGAGCAGCAAGATTCTAAGGTTCTAAGGAATTTCCTCCCTCGGATCAGAAGAAAGGTATGAGGTTGGTGTTTTCACCACTATGATTTCGGGGAATATCTCTGGGCTTTCAAGCTGTGGGTTCTGTGCGGAACAACTATGTCCTGTTAGGTGACATTGTCATCCCTACTTTACCTGTAAATGATGCTAGAGTTTCCCTCTTGCTACCAGAGCCCACAGTTTCTTTTGATGTTGTATTTGAAAACTGCTTTTTTTCTCTTAAGAATCAAACTGATGAAGGACTTAATACTCCGGGAAACAAACAACGAATTTGTCACATCTGGGGTCTCAATCATCCGCAGTATTTGTGTGAGATGGGCTGGGACAGGGATCAGAATTCCCACTCCAGCCTCGATGGTGCTTTCCAGAAGTCACTCAATACAGCCATCTCGACTTCTTCACCTGTAAAATGGGACAGCCAGTAATCATTATGAGACTTGCAAATATTAAGTGAAAATGCAGGTCCATTATAAGGCACAGCGTGGGCTGAGTATGGGTCATTGTTACTTTACTCCGAGTTAATGGTTATCAATTCCTGGGTCATTAGCAGAATCCCTTAGCCAATGTGCTGAGCTAGGAGGACCCCAAGGCCACAGGTCAATGAAAAGTGAGTTAGTCACAGGCAAGGACACCAGCCTCTCACCAGTTAAGTCATAGGATAGCTCAGTTCCTACTTTCCCTTGGTTGCCAGATGGCAACCCTCAGAACGAGGCCATCGTACAAGTGAATTGTGAAGCTCTTGTGTTACATTTGTAAGACTCCCATCATTCCTGGCCCAGTAGATACTGCCACAATCTGTCTAACTGAACTCCTCGACAAAAGGGTGATTTGTTCTCATACTTGCCATCTGAATCACAGGCACCCACGGATTAACCTGGCATTGTGTCAGGGGGAGCAGGAGTGATTTATCGAGACAGCAAAGACAGAAGCGACTCCACGAGCCAGCGTGCCACACACCTCTTTTCATTTGTTAAACAAATTAATCTGGATGTGTCGTTTAAACACAACAGCAATGTTCACTCATACTGCCGAGGATGGGCAAGGTGGAAGAGATGTCCCTCTCTCAGCTGGGAGAGGACAACCTTGCCAGGTTTCACTCCATGCTCAATTTCTCCAGTCTTTTATTGTTTTCTGATTGCTAAGGGATGCCCACTATCTTGTAACCCCTTAAAGTTTGGAAGATGGGATGATGATGTCTATTTCTTGAAAAACAAACAAACAGAAGATAGTGCAAGCCAATAAAAATCTCTGTTTCCCTTTAATTGCCTATCAGTTCTCACCAAGTCTACCTCATTTAGTTAAATGAGAACTCCTGTGCTATGGTATGATTGAAAATTGAATACAGCTTGTCGATATTTTGCTTGGTTTCTGTCTGCTTTCTTTCCTTACTTAAAAATAGAGGAAAGTAGCAATGCCCATGTGTTCATCAACCAAAGAGAACCAATTCATAATATTTTCATCATATTTTAATAAATGGAATTTAAATGTTTAACTATATGGCCAATATTTAAAATATGATTTACATATTTTATCTAGCAATATGGATTTCTGTATTACAAAATAGAAAAAAAATTATCTTATACACACCAAGAGTTGGCCACTCAAGCATATTTCCCCTAGTATATTTTCAATTTCTTTCCTCTACATCATTGAGATTAAAATAATACAATTTTGTGTTCTCATTGTTTTGCTTGGTATTGTTGAATAAGTGTCCCCCCATGATATTAAAAATGTTCATAAATATAATTTTAATGACCGCATAACTGTCCATCATATTAATGTGTCCTCATTTGTTTAGCCAGTGCCATATTCCTGGATAGTTGAGTTGTTTCCTGTTCTCTATATTCTAAAATATCATTACACACAAAGCTTAGTTTTTCAGAATATTTCCTTATGATATTCCTAGAAGGGGGATTCTTGGATTACAGAATTGGAGGATTGTAAAAGTTCTTGATCCATTTGCCAAATTGAAGCCCATATTTTGGTATTTGGGGGTAGTATCTTGGTTGTGGAGTTATTATAATATTTCAGTGCAATCCTGGGAAGATCTGATTGAACAAGAGGGATGGAGAGCGATGCGGGAATTAGGATAATGGATGAGGTATGTTTAGAGCTTTCTTCATTAGAAAGTATAGCCAGATTCTCAGGTCTTCCTCAGAAGTGCATTTAGCTAAATGATTTCCTGAAATTGGCTACGTGTCAGTTTCATCTACTGCAGCGGAGTTAGCCAAAGCCGGCGTGTCACATCATTTTTCAAAAATATTCTATTTTCTGCCTGACTCTTGACATAGAAGCCCTCCCCTCTTCCCTCTACTGCCTCTCTCCTTTCTCTCCATCTGTATATCCTTCCAATGACTAGCGTGCATTAAGTGCCTAAAACGAACCAGGCACCGCATGTGGCTCTTTGCATCATTATTTACCCAGACCTCTCCAGGACAGGACCAGGAGGTCATCACCATCCTAACTTCAAGTGCAAGGAAGTTGGAGCTTAGAGAGGTCATGTGCATGTGGGCGCTACACTCCTGGCAGGTGAGCAAGAGAAGTAGATTCAACTTTCACCTTGATGGTCCACCAGGCTTATCAATAAGGCAATGCGCTGATCCAGCCTGCACTGGGTTTACTGGGGGAGGGCTGTCTCTCATCTTTCCACTGGCCTTTGAATGCTATTGTGTCACCTGTGGATCTGCTCCAGAGAATTCCATCTGGGATCCTCGAGACCAGAGGCTGGGTATTGTCATTTCTCTATCCTCAGTCCCCAGCATATAGCTGGCAATGCATAAATACGGAAATGTGAACTGAATCTTGCTGGAGTACTTCAAAGCCTCACTCATCACACCCTTGTAAACCTCTTGATTTTTTTTCTTTTGCATAAAACTAAAGCTTCCCACTCAGCAAGGTGCATGTCAGCTTCTGGAAGTTTTTCAACTCCTTTGCATTGAGTACCAGAAGACCAAAGAGCCTAAGATGTGTAATTAGTGTAATCTTAGAAACACAACAATGATAACCACACCTCAGTTCTTGTGAATTACAGGCCTCCTGTCCTCAAAGTCAGTCTCCAGAGTAGACTGGCATTTGCAGACATACAAATCCTTCTGTTCAGAGAGTGTGCAGCAGCCAGCGATGCGTGGATGATTTAACCGGGGCTTTTCATTTTTCTCCTAGATTTTCCTGCTTACGAAGGGCAGCCGTTCAGCGGGAAAGGCTGAAGCAAAGGGAATCAGGTAGCTCAAACCTGATAAAAAGTAATTGAAATGAAGTGAGTGCAGGTTTAGACCCCTGCTGGGCCACTTCCTAGCGGTGCGATTTGGAAGGTTTCCTAATCTTTTTGAGCTTCAGTTTCTTCATATCTAAAATGAGGACAGTAATTCATATCTTCAGTACTGAAATGAGGTTTTGACATAATGAATATAATTTATTTTCAGGTCGGTCTAGCATTAGCTAATGATATTGATGTTATAATACAACTCACATTACAATTCCTTCCCTTTCCCTCCCTCCCTCCCTCCTCTCCTTTCTATTGCCATGTCTGTTTTACAACAGTTTTCACTTGTTTTCCCCCAATATTTTCTCCCCACTTAGTAGAAGCTTCCTCAGAGGCACAGCATGTCTCTGTCAGTAGGTTTCACTTTCCCCTCTCTCTTTCTTCTAATGACATATTCTTACGTGTAACAGAAAGAAATGACATATAAATAAATGTTTAGATAATGCTATGATGTGGTGAGCTGGTGGGTGTCCGGAACACACATCAAGGTGAAGGGACGAGCTGAGAGGGTGATGCTTTAGACAGGGTAATCAAGGATGGCTTCTCGGAGGAGCTGGTGTTTGAGCAAAGGCTTGAAGGAACAAGCCATCTGGATACTTACTCTGCTCAGCAAGCACAGAGGTGCCAAGGCAGAAGTGGAGCTTATGGGTTCCAGAAATATCAAGAGACAAGAGTGGCCGAAACGGAGTGAGTAATACGAGATGATGATGGGGAGGAAGGCAGGGGCCAAGCCAGCTGGGATCTTGCAGGACATGGCAAGGAGAGTTGAGGAGGATCCAGTGGAGGATTCTGGGCAGGGAGCAATGTAATTAGACTTTCCCTGTATAGGCAGCACCCTATACTGCTGAGCGGACAGGGGCAGCAGAGCAGAAGCACGGAGACCAACAGGAGGTTCGTCCAGGGGGGTCAGGCAGAAGGTGGCAGGGTGGGGATGGCTAAGGCGGTCAGGTTGGCCATGGGGTTTTACTCTTCTGTGTGAAGATGTGAATCCGTGGCTTATGGAGTGGTTTTTGCTACTACTATTGCTAGTAGTGGTGTGTGTGTGTGTGTGACTTGAGTTAATGGAGTAGTTTGCTGATGGTGGTGGAGGTGGTGATGGTATATGTGCACGAATGTGTGTGGATGATTGTGAGTTCAATGGAGTAGTTTGCTGAAGGTAGTGATGGAGTATTTGCTTGTATGTGATGGGTGATTGTGTGTGTGTGTGAGTGTGTGTGTGAGAAAGGGAGAGAAAGAATAAGTGGATGGACTTGGAATCAAATCATTGGAGGAGTTAGGGACAGTTCATCTGGAGCTAGAGCCAGTCCGGATAGATTTGATATTCACGAATCCAGAAACATGAAGAAGCTCATCAAGTTGCACCTTACCCAGAATGCAATATAATTTCAGCAAATGGATAAGCTGATGCCACTTTTGTTTCTATTCAACACGAGAACAATTATAGCTAAACACCTTGGAGAAAGCTAGCCAGTCTTCAAGTTTGCTAATTCCATTTCTAAAATAGCTCTAAAGTCTTTGCTTGCTCATGGCGGGGATAATTAAAACTAATGAAGTGAATTTAGGGGTGTACATCAGAGACTGAGCAGAGGGAATCTGACGGTGATTACAAACGCTGCGGCTTCTTTGAAGGTAATTCTAGAATGACCCTTCTTCATTTGTATTCATGGAGATATGGAGCCATTTTCTTGAGGCTGGTAAACATTTCGGAGAAGCCATCCACATGGTACATTTCAGAATTGAGAATTCTTCATTCCATTTTAAGAGTTTTTGGATTTTACCTCCTGGTTACAAATGACTAAGCTTGAGACATGATATGTCTTTTATATTTATTCTGAATAATGAATTTAAGAGATGAGAAGCTAGTGACAGGAGAGATGACAGGGAGGAAGGAAGAAAGAAACTCATTTATGTGTTTATGGTATAAATATTTATCGAGCACTCATGGGCTAGTCCCTATTGTGTGCCTGATTGTGTTCAAGGCACCGAGGAGCATAAACAAAGCAGACGAGGTCACTCTTCTCCTGAGCTTACATTCTTCTTGGAAGAAACAAAATCAGGAGAAATATTAGTTGGTGTGCAGAAAAAAAAGTAGCGACTAGGTCAGAGGACTTGCGTGGCAGGGAAGTCTTTCAGAACTTTGTGACTTTAAAGTCTTTGTGATTTTAAAGCCTGAGATTAAATGACAAGAAGGAAGGAGACACCTCGATATTGAATGGAGAGCATTGCAGTTTAATGGCGTGGGCAAAGGCCTAGGGGTGCCAAGGGGCACTGGTGTGAACGAGGAGGTCATGTGGCTGATGGAGCAGGAGGAAGCACAAGAGTAGAAAGGCGGAGGCTGGGCTTTGGAAGGTTCAGGACTCTACTTTGGAAAGCAGGAGAGAGGAAGTAAGATCTCATCAAGGACGGTGTCCCAGCTGGTGTTAAGCTGGGGCCTCTGACTCCAGAGGCTGAGCTCCATTCCTTCTTTTTAGTTGAGGTACTTGACGTGAAGCAAGGGCTCAAAAAACAGAACCGAAAGACAAAATGAGAGTCGCTTGCTTTCATAGTTCTTGTTTTCCTTTGGTGAACTCCTCTTCTCAGTTGTCATCCCCCGAGACTCAGTCATTGCCGGAGGGTAACGGTTGTGACTCAGTCGCTGCGTCTCCTGGGCCCCACACTGGCCCAGCACTCAGCAGGGCCTTGGGTGTCCCTTAAACGAAGCCCCGGGATGCCTTCCTTGACACACACTCTTCCAGGGAAGTGGACTTGACAGCGACCCCACCCTCTTCCTGCTGGAGCGGCCTCAGTGGTCGACAGGAGGTGAGGTAGACCATGGAATAAAGATTTCAGCAAGTTCTTCCACCCTGAGCTTCACCCCCAGTGAAGAAAGAAGCTCATCAAAACAGGAATTAAAGCAATAAGTTGTATTTGGCACCAGCCAAGTGCCCACACAAGAGCTAAACATAGCTTCAGGGAGGGGATAGGCGCGATGAGGCAGAAGAGGAAGCTTCTTCTAATTCATTCTGCTTCCAGCGTGCAAGACAATGATTTTGTCATGGGCAGGATAATTAAATTGAAATATGGCGCAGCTAAGACTAAGAGCTGGTCTAACGGGAAGGTCAAGAAACCCAACAGCCAACTTTCCGGGGAGATAGACGCAGGAGGTCTCACGATGAGGTCTAATTATCTTGGCTGTGTCAACTTCAGAGCTGAGGCTCGACTAAGAGAGCCCCGAGTCCCCAGGCTTTAGCGAGATGGTTACTTAATAATGAGAGATGGTCTGTGCGGCTTATAATGGCTTTGCAATCAGCATGTGGCTCTTTGACCGCATAGGAGACTGAGGCATGTGTCTGTCTGCAACCCTTGCCTTGGGGTGAGGGTGTCCGTGGAGGGTTGTGCTAGTTGGGGGGCTCCCAGATTAGGGAGAGGGGTGAAGCTGTTGCTGCCTCTCTTCTCCACATCTCCTGGGGCCACTCAGGCACTTGAGGGAGGAAACGGATGGACCTGAAGCAGGAAGGACAGCTGGTGAAAGTCTGGGACAGAGCAACAATAATTCTGAGTAGATGGAGGCGTCTGGGCAGAGCGCGACGCTACAGAGACACCTGCTCCTTAGAATAAAAGGGCAAGAGGTCCCCAAGGGCCACTTCGGGAGACTCAGCCACCCGGAACTTGGGGCATGTTGGAGGCATCATCGTCCTTGCAGTGAGTCTCAAACTTCTCAGTCAGCCTCTTGCCTCTCGCCACCCCCCATCCCCGGGAGCCCTGCAGGGATCTGTGTGAGAGGGAGGGGAGGGAACAATCTCCAATGATGCCTTGGAGTGCCCCAAATCCATTCCGCCTGGAATCTAACCTTCTCCCATCCCTGTCTCTTTGCTCTCTCCTCCTCACTGCACGAGCACCACTGACTTAAAACCACCACATGATACGGACACTTAATAGTGTCCGGGGACTTGAGACTTGGGGCCTAGTTCCCACCCAGCACTTCACCTTGAGGGACTGGAGGTGGGTGTTGACCTGTGGCTTGGCTACTTCTAAGGCTGGCTTTTCAACCACAGGTGACTTTGCTCCCAGGGGACATTCGGTTTGGTCGGCATGGCCTGGGAGGCATGGTGCTGGCATCAGTGGGCGGAGACCAGGGATGCGCTCACCCTACAATGCCCAGGGTAGTCCCACAGGAAGCAATTATCTGACCCCAAATGTCTAGGGGTCATGTTCCCCACCAACCGCTGCCATTTCGCAGTCCCCTCTGTCCTTAGGTGCCTCCCCTTAGTAGGGGAAAGCCAGGTGGATAAGAGGCAGGTGGCGTTGGTACAAATTTACATGGAGACAGTCAAGATGATGCAATTCTGGGTGATGGCAAAGGGATTGAAAAAATTCCCACCAATGATGCAAGACGGTTGGAACAAAATCACCCAAAGCTATTTCCAGGGCACGTATCCAAATTGCACGGCATCTCGGGAACGGAGTTGGGCCTAAGAATTGAAAGTCAATGAATGTCTAAAAGCAGAAATGCAGTGGACATTGGAATAAAAAAAAGCAGACGCAGAATAACGCACCCCCCACCCCCCGTCCCCCAGAATACATGATGGAAAGAATACAAAACGAGGTGACACAGAGAGCTTTGCTATCTGTGGGGGCTCACGAGCAGGAGATGGCAGACAGGGGAGCCATCATTCCTGAGCTGGGATGTGTCAGACATCCCCAACCTTCTGTCACTCTCTCCCTCAGACGTCGTCTTTATTGTTACATTTTTGGTGAATGTAAAAATTTATGAGTAGTAGGCTGAGATTTTCTTCTCATCCGTTGTGGGGCGGCAGTCTTTACTAAGAATAAAGAGCTGAGATTTCATTAGCATAACAGCCACAAGGACATTAGCTGCAGAGAGAGTCAGTATTAACAAGAGAAAGGTATGCGCTGAAAAACATTACAGTTTTTTTTTTTATTTTTTTTTTTTTAAAGCAAGGCTTGTTTGCTTATAGATCAATGGTCTCCAGACGCTCTGGATTGCACACCCCGTTAGAATTTTTTGAGCATTCTCCCACAGAATATGTTTATTTATGAATTGCAAATTTGTACGACTGAAGTCATAGATTATTAAAAAAAGATAAAAACCAAGAAATTATAAAAGGAAATTATAGGTAAATTCTTTCCTTATGCACCATCAATAAATCGTCATGCCCAGTCCCAGCCTCTAGTACTGATGCTTGCCTCTGGCTTAAAAGGGTAAATTTGTGTTTCTCTGACCAGATGCTGGGCACTGTTCTCAAGTTTTGTATGTATTAGCTAATTTAACCCTCCTAATAATCCCGAGGCAGCAAAAATTGCCACTCTTACTTCACAGATAAAGAAATGCAGGCACAGAGAGGTTAAGTAACTTCTTGAGGTTACCCAGCAAATAAAACGAAGATCAGGGACTCAAGCTCTCACTGAGGATTCAAGCTGTCACCTAAGGAAGCTTCCTCCTGTGAGAGTGGGATCAGACAGGACGTTCAGAAGTTGAGGGCTTTGGGTTTTGTCGAAGTAGTTAAGATGCTGAGCATGAGAAGGAGGGGAGAAGGAGGCAGATGATGGAGATGAGGTGGACTCCCAGACTTCCAGAGGTGGACCCTGATGGATAGAAAGGACTTTGCAGGGCCAACCAAGGGCATTCTTTGCACCAGCTGCCACATTTCGTGAGTGCCCGCTGTGGAGTGACACACTGGTTTCTTTCTGGACTTAGAACCACTGCCAGATGTTGGGCAAGGTGGGGGTCACAACCTGAAAGCTTTTAGAAGTTTGCTCACAACCTTGCTACCCTGACCTTTTGTTTTCTCACATAGTTTGTAACATCGCTACTACCAGGAAGAATTCCAGAACCAACCACCTCAAGGTCAAGGTGGGAACACAATTCTGCATATTAGTGCCTCCTTTGAATATAACGGGTAACTTCAGCCACCACATACCCAGCATGAGAGCAGGTGGGATCTAGGGAGCCGTGAGGTCCAATCCATGTCTCCATACTAAGGAGAGAGAAGCAGTAAGACACTTGATTGGGATCCTGTTTTGTAGCAGCTGGGGGTAGAGTTGAGATTAGTGGTTAGATCTCTGATTTGTCTGGATCTTTCCATGCCAGAAGATCAGATTTGAAAGGCATCTGCTTAGGTCAAGCACTTTACAAGGGTGAACTGTGTTCAGGAGCAATGGGAAGGTAAATTTTTGCTTTCTTTTAAGCTACTGGGAAGCTAGACTAAACCAAAGTAAGATTGTACTAGAGAGTCCCTGGAATGGACTGACTCATGTTTCTCCAAAACTCATCTGCAGAAGTCCTAATCCACACAACCTCAGCTATATTTGGAAATATTCAAGAGCTGAAGGACCATTAATGAGGCCATTAAGGTGGGCCCTAGTCCAACTGACTGGTGCCCTTATCAGAAGAGGAAATTTGGACACATAGAGGCATCAGGGAGAACACACTTAGAACCGCCAGGAGAGAAGAAGCTGGTGTCTGCAACTCAAGGAGAAAGTCCTCAGAAGAAACTAAACCTCCTAACACCTTGATCTGGAACTTTCAGGCCCCAGAACTGTGAGAACACCACCTCATGTGTGGTGCATTGTTATTGCTGCCTTACCAGACTGATATTACCCCTTCACTTTTCATAGTAATGATGGAAGTAGCTAATTACTCTCATCTCATGAACTTCTCATTCACTCTTCCTAGATGTATCTTTTACATGTGAGGAAGAAACTGAAGCTGATAGCAATTAGGATGGAGCTAAGTTTGTTGGCATTGGTCCTCATTCTAACTGGGATCACAGCGGTAAAAACGGGGTGAGGCCAGTGTGGGGTGCTCACCACAGGTGTGATGTCTTTGCGTCACTTCCTGTCTTACAGGAAGTGGGAGAGAGCCATAAAGGGGTGCCAGGATCAACGCCAGGGTCTGGACCATCGGCCTCATCCTTGACAATTACCTCTTTTCGAATCCATGGTCTGTCCAAGAACGACTTTGAGCTTCTGCTGTGGGCCAAGCACCACAGCGGTGAAGACAAGATGGCCGCCATCGCGCTCATGGAGCGTTTGGTCTGGGGTCACTTCTTCTCTCAGAATCCTCCTGTTCTTAACCGTTTTCTTTCCGTTAACTGGGTGAAGGAAGAGCCAGCAGGCCTGCTTCTCTGAGTGTTTCCTTTCCGACAGACATCCTCACGTCTGACGGGAAATGAGTCTTCTCGACAGTGATACATTTATGAGTTTTGACTGTTAGCAAAGTTCCCTAATTAATTCTTTATAGATTTCTATTGGCAACTGCATCTGTGTTGTGAGTTAGAAATGGGAGCTTGAACGAACTGTGTGGAACATCCTGCTCTCTCTGGAGAGCTCCCGCTCACCAGCCACCTGCCGGCCCACCCTGCGAGCGCATCTCCTGGCCATCTCCTGAGCAACCCGGCAAACCAGCCACACCCTCAGCACCACAGGGCTGCTGGGAGACTTTTTGGATGGCCTGAGATCTCTGCTGATCAGATGCCTGATGTAGCTGAAAAGATGTAGGAGAAGCAGTGAACCTCTCTCGGTACAAGGGAGAAAATGAAGGGGACAGAAAGTGGAGCAGGGGGAGAGAGAGGGAATGGGGAAGGGGAAAGGCAGGACGGAGCTAAGAGAAACAGAGATCAAAGGAGATAGGAGAAAAATAGATATAAATAATAACAATAGCTCACAGTAGTGAGTGTCTGATCCAGGCCAGGGCGGGGCAGCTGCTTCCCTGCACATGATCTCATCTGTGCTTCCTCATCACCCCAGCGAGGTAGATGCTGCTATTTTTCTTGCTGTGGAAGTGCGAAAATGAGCTCAGAGGGACTAAATAAATTGCCCAAGTTCACAGAGTTTGTAAGCTGTGGAGCCGTCTGCAAGTCCAGGCAGATGGACCCAGAGGATGCCCTTCAAATGCCCACGATTGAGAGACAGAGGGTTAGAGAAATAGAATGGAGAGTCTGTTAAGGGGAAAGGATGTCCTGCGCTAATTCCATGCAGGCTTTGTGGACCCCACCCCCACTCCAGACCAAAGCCATCAGGACATTGGGAAAGACAAATCCCGTCTCCACCAAAGGGAAGGTGGCTGGGACCTGAGGGTGGGGTTAAGCAGCCAGGGTTGGTATAAAAACCAAACACATGGGCCTTGGGCTCTCTCGCTCTGTCGCTCGCCTCCTGGCTTCACGGCTCCTGGCTCGCGGCCAGCTCTGAGTGCCAATTGGGATTCCAGATCGGCGGATCGGGTAGGACACATTTAAAACTTTGTCTCCCACTTTTCTCCCTGAGCTGTATGTTTCCTCATTTCCCCTTCCCTTGTAAATAAATCTTTTATGAACCTTTCGCGTGTGCCTGCAGTAGAGCATTGATAAGTCCTTTTAAGCACGCGGGTGAGGACCCACAGTCAGGCACCCCGTTTTGTATCAGGGCTGCCCTATAACAAGTCCACACACACAGCCTGTGTACACACATGAAATGCAAGGTGTGCACACACAGGGAGTGAGAGCTAGAGAGAGAGAGAAGGAGAGAGAGATTTAAATAGAGTCTGCAAAAAAGAATTAAAGAAGTATGAGGCATTATCTGAGAGAACTGACAGGGAGAGAGAGGAAAACAGAAGGCTGAGAGAGACAGAGGGGCTTTGGAAGAGACTCTATCCCTCCGTGTCACACTGAAATACCCAGGAACAACAAAGTACCAATTGTGTGCTTACACGCGCCAGGCACTGATCGCACTGTTTTCTTTCTCTGACTTAGTTTACACGACCATTCACTTATGGAATTGCTGAAACCTGTCGCTGGTGGCAGTGTGGCCAGCCAGCCCTCGCAAGGGTAGATACCAGCATTCAAAGCTCGGGGCCCACAGCACAGGCTTCTTCTTGTGGCTCGGGGTGTGAGGAGGGGAGCCTGGTGTCTGCAGAGGTTTGTGATGGGTGATGGTGATGGCAGCCAAGGAGGAGCTGAAGTGTGGAGGCATCCGATTCCTCTTACCTCTCTGAGGCAACCTGGGTTGCACCTTGTTCTGGGGCCTTGCTGGTAGCCGAAGGCCTTGGGAGAGGCCTTTGCATTTGGAGTATCACCCTTTGTGTGTAGATAAGGGAACCGGGGCAGAGAGGATAACCAACCTGTTTTCAGGGCTTATCGTGGTAGAACCAGGGCTCAGGTCCAAGTGGCCTGTGTTAAGAGCCCTTGGCCCTCACCAACACGGTGCCAAAGAATGGGCCAGTGCAGTCTGCAGAACTTGGGGAACAGCAGCAGCACTTTCAAGCAGACTCCTGGCCCTGTTTGCAAGGAGACTGGAAGGCAGGGGCCTCGCCTATGTGAGCAGGTCAAATGCCTCTGAGTTTTTATAAGAAAAGGCAAATTGGGGGCCTCCCTAGTGGCGCATCAGTTGAGCGCTGGGCTGCAAAGCTTCCCGCAGCCTCTGCAGCGCCAGTTCGATCCCCGGTCAACGGCAAGGGTCCCACATGGCGCGCAGACCTCTCCTGCCGTGCCCGCTGCTCCCCTCAGCAGTGTACGTCTTAGGTCTGCCTGTTCTGCTTCCCGCTCTGGCTCTGGTGAATTCTCTCACCCTCCTGCGCTTCTGACTATACCCAGTGCTTGTATAAATAAATAAATAAATCTTTTTTTTTTAAAAAGGCAAATTAAAGTAATTGGTGGCACATAATTCCCTGCCGCGTGCACCCAAACAAAGCTAAGACCTTCACTAGTTTTCACCATCATCACCATTGACACCAAATGCCAGAGTTTAGCACCACTGGACTATTTATGGTTTAATTCTGCCACATTGGATCCATAAGGCTGGGCCTCAAAGAAGGGCAAGACTCCACCCTCCAATGGCACTTGACATTGGCTTGAACAACAGAAGAGCAGAGCCCCCTCCCATAGATCAATATGGGGCTGGAAACACAGCAAGGTCACCATCAAGGCCAATAACCAGTGAGCAGGTCTCGAGAGCTCAGCTCTGGGCTTAATGAATAAACAAGGACGAACCAGGAGCGGAGTGGAAGCCAGGGCTCTGGAGTGGGTAGGCCGGCTTCTGACTGATCCAACTCCACCGCTTGCTAACTGAGCTTCAGCCAAAGATTAAACTTCTCTGAAAGGCAAATTGGTTTCAAGTCTTGTCCTTTTGTCAACACAGAAGCTTCCTAAGGCTTAGTCTCCGCTCCTGTGCAAACAGACACTTATCTACTTACCTGGAGGGGAAGACTATATCAGGGCTGTCCCCAAAGGTTGAGAAAATTGGTCTGGGAGGGTGGTCAGGAAGGGTTTCTGGAGGAGGCAGAGCTTGGATTGTAACCATCATTCCCCTTGACCTTGCCATATCACTCTCACAGCTGTCACCTCTTGAATGCTATTTATGGACCAGCAGGACATTCAATGAGCCACATCATCTACGTTTATTCTCAAAGACCCCCGCCCCGAGTTATTTGTCATGTTAGACAAGTGGATCCTGAAGACCCAAGCTGAAGGTGTGTATTGTTCAAGGTCACAGAGTTGGAAAGTAGTGGAGATAAGTTCCAGATTTACCTGTAAAGTTCAGGTAGACCCCAAAAGATCCATTTTTCCTTTGTTGAGTTTCCACAATTCTCTCCTTGAAATTGAGTTGTACCTGACTGTTGGTTTCTGTTATAATTTCAGAGAAATTTCATCTTCATCCCTGATATCTCTACAATTGGCACCAGCTTTTCAATCTCAGTTTATGTTATTTGTGGTCACAGTATTCTCGGTCTCTCTGCCAAGTAGTTATGGTGTATAAACACAAGCTTGAATGCACCCAGGGATCTTGCGGCTAGATGTTCCTTTGTAGAGTGATGATTTCCAGTGTCCTGGAAGCACGTCCCTAGATTGTCAGATGGCACATCTATCCACCGAAGACATCAATACGCTGTTCATTGCTCCATGAAAGAAATTTCCCTGATTCCAGTAACAAAAGACCTCAGTGGAGAGGCTCCCCCATGAATAAGATTAAGATTTTTTTTTCAATAACAGGGGCATCCCTGGTGGCACAGGGGTTAAAGTCTCAGTGCTATCGAGCCATCACCAGCCACTGCAGCACGAGTTCGATCTCTGGCCAAGGAGCTGACCCACCTGGCGCAGCAGACCTCTCCTGTCTCGCCCACTGCTCCCTTCAGCAGTGTATTTCAATGGACCATGGAAAGTGTTCTGTACAGACGAGCTGTTTTCTACACTGTCCTGCAACTGTCCATCTAGTTATTTATGATTTTCTGGACCTTCAGTTCCCTGCACAATTTCTGGAAATAATAAGAGTTCTTGATGAATGAATGAAGAAAGATGCAGGGAGGGAGGAGGAGACAGGTAAGTGTGACCATGGGAAATACGTCCATTTCCAGCCACCAGTTTATTCCCAGCATCTAGTACTGTGTCTGACTCATAATTGGTGCTCATTGAATATTTTGAATGAATTAATAGCTGCACAAACCCTCAATCCTTTTTGGATCTCTTTCTTATGTTCTTCCCCTCAGTATCAAGTGGAGTTCTTCCCTCAAGCATATCCATTCATTATTCATGTTTCTACTCTTTAAATAACATGAATCTAGTCATTTCTTACCTTTACATAACAATCTTTTACATATTTGAAATAAGACATCGCTTCATGTTTTTATTTCTCTGGGATGAGATTTTTAGAGTCCACTCAGAGGAGGAAGGGAGTTAGGGCACATTTCTTGACAAATGTTAATGGAAAGATTTCCCAGAAACCATCCATGGTAAGCCAGAGGGGATAAGAATAAGGGGAGCGTAATGGCTGGTAGGGAGGGGTGTCACTTCCCAGTCTGTGAAATGCCAGGACTATTCTCTTCCCTGGAGTGGTCTTCCCAAGGTCTCTTAGGAACTTGAAAAGGCCAAGACAAAGCTGGTTTGCAACTCCAGGGGAAATTTGATGTTCTCCCTCATCAGGCCTCTGGCAAGAGCCACTGGGTGTCTCCAAGGAGAATATTTCCAATCAAGTTGATGCCTGGAAGCCCAATGCAGGGTGAGTCGTGTCTTCTTTAATGTCCTCCTCAGAGTAGAGCATGTTGGCTGCTAATTTCCATCTTTCTGG